CAGGTATAGGACGCAGGGGCCAATCACCCGTTACGGAGGGGAGGGGGGAGGGGGGGAGCAGTCATTTCCCAGTGCCATCAGTCCGGAGATGCATGCGTAGCGCGATTTATGCCGGCCCCAGATCGATAAATCGATAAACTGAGTTCTCATCCAAGGCCCAGGCTTCAATGAATTCGCGGCCTGTTTTGTTGCCGGCGTGCGCGATTACCTTCGCAGCTGCGAAATTGAACTCATGACCGGTCTCGTAGGTATGGGCGGCCAATTGCGATAATGCGTCATCCCGTCGTACCGCCAGCTTATGTTCGTGTATGCGCGAACAAAGTGTACGTCCTGTCTGTCCTGTGTAGTTTCGGGGACAGTTTAGACAGTGTAGCCATTCCGCATAAACTTGTCGCGGAGATATCTCGCCTCAAATGATTTTTTACTCCGGGTTACTGCAATGAGTCTGGATTCTTTTGAAGAGTGTTTTTTACGCAGCTTCTTTTGTGAGCCACCGGATGGTTGCCGGTGGTTGACTGTTCCCCCCTCTCCCCCTCCCATCCATAACGACTGATTGGCCCCTGCGTCCTATAACTGTTTCTTGTCTTTCGTTTGAGCCTTTTATCTCTGACGATGAACTCTAGAAAATGCCCGAAAGCTCAGACAAGTAAAGTATGATTCCGGTGATCGCAACACCTTCTACTTCTCTATCTGAAGCTACAGCTCTCCACACTCAACCCAAATTTTCGCTACAGGGGTTTGTAAGAGTCAAAAAGTAAGCTAACCGAGCACCCGAACAGTTTGTATGTTTTTTTGAACTTTCGAACTGATGTAAGGGTCCATAGTCAGAGAACGTAGCAACGACAGAACTAAGTAAAGTAAATTGCCTGTCAAGTGAAATTTCGGCCGCAATTTTAAAATTTGCGTCTAATTCGAACATATTAATTAAGCATCGTTGTGAGATTGATTAGCATGCAACTTAATCCGTTTGACTATCAGAAAGAAGTATATTCTGTAAAAATGGGAACTTAAGTAGAATGCTCCTTTCTAATCGATTTTCACTGCTCTAATAAATTAAAAGGTATCTTATAGAAAAATGCAAAAAAATGTTTTTTCTTGTACTCGTTTGGTGGCAAATTACGCCTTCTTCAAATTTTATACTTGAAGAAAAAAACCGTTCTAATTATGAGATTCTTTACGCCCGTGAAATTTGCATTCATAAAGCAACGTATCTTCCTATTCGTTAATACTGCTCATAAATTATAAAACTTGGTCCACGTCCATAGAAAAATTTCATGAGAACTAAATGACTTCTTCCTCACACCGTAGAGAAATATTCATTTATCCTAAGACAGAATCTGGATAGCATATAGTTTGGAGACCTTGAAATCAAAATCGAAAGATATCCCTCCTTTAAGTATAAAATTTGCAGAAGGCCTAATTTACTCCCAAACGAGTACAAGAAGGAATATTTTGTGCATTTTTTCTATCAAATATATTTGAATTTATTAGGGCAGTAAAAATCAATGAGAAAAAGACATACTACTAGGTAGCCATGCTCACAGAATATACTTCTTGTTGGTGGTCTAAAGGGAGCTCGTCCAGGAGCCGCCATCCTGGAGTGACTGAAATATCTTGAGATTAGTTCGTATACTAATCACTATTACAACCATACTTAATTACTATGTTTGAATCGAAAGCCCATTTCAGAATTTTGATTGACATTTCATGAGATACACAATTTCTGTATACTTGTGAGGGCACACCATTCAACTTTCAGTGACGCATGTCTGGACATGACTGCGCAGGGTTTTGTAGGCCAGCACATATTGATTGAGTTCCTTTCGTAGGAGGAGGCTTAAGTCCATTCTTACTTTGTTTTGTTTGTCGATATGAGTAAATATAAAACGGACCAGTCGATGGGCTCATCTCTGTCTGTGCAATTTGTCTAAACGGTTTGCAGAGGCTCGTCATAATCAAAAGGAGCAATACGCTTTTAAGCCACTACAGAATTCCATATTTTCAGATATGTAGTTTATTATGGAAGAATATGTCAACAACTAGTTGGCCTTCCTTGATGTACAAGTGAAGAAGGTGGCAGACGGGAAGATAAGGACAATGGTGTACCGTAAAGCAACCACATTCTCAAATTGAAAAGCAATCACCCCGTTGGCCAGAAACGCAGTTGTGTTAGCTCTCTCTACCAACGCGTTCAAACACATTGCAGCAACGGCAGTGGGAAGAAAGAGGAAATTAAGTACTTAAATGTCATATTTCCAAAGTACTTCATACGCAAGTGTCTTAAGCAGTCGCATCTTGAGCGGTGGAAAGGAGAAGACCCTAAGTTCTTGTTCGCAATACCCTTTGTGAAGAACGTGTCGGAGACGACTACAAGAATCCTAAAACCATCCAGAACCGGTGTGGCTCATAAGCCGGAGTCAGCCATCAAGCAGCACATCATGACGCCCGAAGAGCCGCTACCACCGGTAGAACAATCAGCAGTGGTCTACAGCAGACCATGCCAAAACTGCAACGCAAGGTATGTTGGTGAAACGGTTAAATACCTTGGCACGACGTTGCATGCGCATCAGCTCACAATCAACCACAAGAATGAACTGTCTATGGTTTATGAACACGTATAGCAGAAGAATCACATTTTCACTTTTGATAAGGTTGCCAACCTACCAGGCACTGTGAACGGGACTCAACTCTGTTCAGAGAGAGAATCAATTGCATACAGGCCTCACTCTTTCTGTTCTGCCTTGCGTCTCGCTCCCGAGCCCAATCAGCAACCGCTCATTAGAAGGAAGTACCGACCAACACAAGGGAGACCGGCATGGACATTCTGGCTTCTTAGCCGTCATCAGCCAACCATAGCCAACTCCAGGTGTAGCGCTTTTCGAGGCTCAAACCTGCGAGCTTGCTAGCTAGAACTCCAAAGTTCCAACCACTGCGCCACGCCCTCGTTGTCTTGCCTATACCTATAGATGCCAGGTGATGAGGCACTGATGGACTTCGGTTCAAGGAGGTGCTTATACCCCAAATCTTTTTTGCATTCCCACAATAATACTATCAAGAGATAAGGGAACCCCATGGGTTCACCAATCTCCGACTTACTTGCTGAATTCGGATGCAAAATCTGGCATGTAGGGCCTTCAGTGGCAGAGTGTTGCATTCAATGACCGAAGGTCGCGGGTTCGAATATCGGGTTATCCACACCTCAAATTGGATATGCTTGGCTGATGTCGGCTAGTAAACCAGAAATAACCATTTCGGTATCTCTTTTTTTCGGTTGCAAGTTATAAATATGTATCAAAAGTAACTGTGCCACTGTCTGCGAGGACTCTATAATGAGCTCCAAGGCATAATGGGACACACATTTCCTCAACCTGATCGGTCAACCCCATACTATTATTATGCAAAGTGTTTAAATATTTAAATATAGGCATCCTAAGAAATATAATTATAAACAAGCGAAATCTTTCGGGAACCGGGTAACTTTTACTGCGTAAATTATCGAGACTTTTCCTCCGACTCGTCGTCAGACCAATGAGAAGTGTAAAAAATCGAAGCCTACTGCAAGATTCAGTGGCTGGCCACAGTGTAAGCCAAAAGGCGTCTCTGCACTTAATTGTTCGGTTGATACTGGCTGCTTGCATTTCCATCTGACCTTGATAAATTCGTCATTGACATCCAAATCGGTATGCCTATTAATATATCCCAAGTCTAAGTGCATTGCCTCCAGGAATTTGCGGCCCTTCCTAGTTGAACAGACGCCGACAATATGGATTGTATTCATGCAAATATGTGTCCAGTGTGTGCAATTTAACCTAGGATAATTGCTCTTGTCTCTTCGCTGCTAACAGATGTTTACGTATACGGATTAGTAGAGATTTCCCGGCATGGCCGCAATAGACTGTATCAGAATTCCAGCACGGTGTTTATAGACATTTTTTTCTACTGATCTAGCCGATCCTGTCCTTAGGGAATGCGAAAAGTTTAGTAAATTATCGATCTCATGAAATATCGGCCGAATTTCTGAAATGTGCTTTCGATTCGAACATATTACTTAGGTATGTGGTTTTAATATCAATTAGGATGCGATCAAATCTCGATATATTTCAGTCACGAAAGAAGGCCAGCTTTTGACCGCCAGCAAAAAATATTTAATGGAAAAAATGACTACTAACGTGGTATGCCTTTTCGTCATTGATTTTCGTTATCCGAATAAATTCAAATCTCGGGGGTGCCAACCCTCGAGATTGGATACGACTGGTTGATGACGGCTAATAAGCCAGAAATGGTCATTA